AGTAACAGGATGACTCTCAACAAAGCTGTAAGTTTACCTGATAAACTCTCATGTTTTGCTTACTCGATGACGTCATGATTTGTTTCTCGCCACGCGTCTTAACGTAGGCACGTAACAGTCTGCCGACAGTCTGCCGAAGCCTGCCGACAGTCTGCCGAAAGCCACAATTACACTTCATGCGTACAAGCGATCGGAGCTGCGTGTCTCCAGCGCCTGACGGGTGGGCATCCGGCCCCGGTCCGCAGTCCTTCTGACACCCCGGTCCGCAGCCCTTCTGACACCCCGGTCTGCAGCCCTTCTGGCACCCCGGTCTGCAGCCCTTCTGATACCCTGATCTGCAGCTCTTCTGGTACCCTGGTCTGTAGCCCTTCTGACACGGATTTCTTAGAACCTGTTCGTGCTCGGGTTTCTAATTTGGAGCTAGCAAATTGCAATTTACGCACGTTCCACGCCACGGACACGATTATCTGAATGTCTTTTGTAAAAACAGCCGAGGTTGTTATTTGCCGCCGGCAAGCAGAGGCATAACCAGTCATCACAGGACGCTCCCAGTACCTGCCGAAGTAGAGCACAGACACAAACAACGACGACGTGTACAAGTATTGACAATAACGTTAGCTGTCTCATGTGGCGTGGAAAAATGCATGCTTAACAGCTCACATCTAGAAAGGATGTTGCAAGAATACGATTCGTAACGTGTCGATAATATTTGTGATTCCGCCAGTGTAACTCATAGAACCTGTTTTCCTGTCTCCCGGTTGAAATAAAATCTTTAGACAGATAAAACTTATCCGCCTCACTGCGTGAAGCAGTAGATGTAAACAAATAAGCACGAGCACTAGCACCATGCACCTAGATGTTTATTCTGCCCGTTATCCCTGAATTAAGGACCTAATAATGAGCCCTTGAAACATCAGCCGAGCAAGTTCAGAGCGCTTTAAGGTATGCTGCTGATCGACTTGTGGCGGAGAACTCTGCAACCCGTCAGCATGAATTGACCATTACCCCTGAGGAAGGGGTGCTGGTCACGACATACTGACTCGATTTGATCCTCCAAAGAAAGGACAACAGCAGTCAACGCAGCAGCGCACCCAAACCTAACAGGTGAATAGGGTAAGCCTCTTTGTGGGCAGCACATTCACTCGAAGAGGTTGTCGATTTAACAGAACGCAAGACTCCAACGCATCTGATTCGCAGCGTTAACCGAAGATAGGCGTGACTTCCGTATCACTGCCGGCATCTCGACAAAAGACACATTGACTGCGTCCGCCTGTTCTTTTTCCTACCCTGGAGATAACAGGACGGGCAGCGACGCCGTCTGATATCTGGCCCTCGTATTTTGCCCGTCTGATCGCAGTCAATCGCTGGCGCGGCTGCCGTGCCACGCCGCTTATTTTTTCCTCCTGTCGGCGGTGCAGGTGATTATTTAATATTTGACCGCTATTCAATGCCCGCCCGCATGGAAAATGCAGCACCGCCCACCCCCCACACCTTGACAAACTGCAATTAGACCGTGGGAGGTCAGGTAAACGCGTGAGAGACCCGGCGCCGTCAGCACGCTCAGTACATCCGGGGTAGCGCCGGGCAGAGGGTACAGGTAGTTGGGGTCGCCTTTGGGGGGGGGGGGGGGAATAACGATGCCAACCGGAGTTAGATACTTTGGAGCCTCGCAAACTGATGCCTATGTATCTTGGTTGTCGGTTGGATACAGTTTCTCAGTATGACATTAAAAAACAACAATAACATGCCCCTTTCGTACTTGTGTGTAGAATTGCACTGACGGAACTGCGGGGGCAGTTAGCTACTAATCCATTATTCCACACTCATGGGCAGCATGCAGGGCCAAAGGCGCCAAGCCGTCCCGCTCAGAACCAAGGCAAGAGCTCTAGGCAGCACTGAATGCTTTGTTTTGCAGGCATTACCAGACGCCAAAACGATCACATAGCAATGTTGCTTCCGTCATGTATGACCAAATCGTCCAGTATTGGCTTATACATGGCTCTGAACGATGAAGTTGCACCCGATACTTAACTCAGTGACGACTGGGTGAGGAAGCAGATATCCAGTTACTTACAGCATCTTGCCCAAGTGACCACGTCTGTGTATCCGTCAAATTACCTGTCCAAACGACAGAAAGGCATGAACATGGGAATGAGGATTCTACCTGAAGGGCATTGCCTGCGTTTGCCAACGCAACACAAAAATGCACAAACAATTACATGCCTGTGACTGGAAAGAATGTTTGAATCAGATGCAGGGAGATAAGCCAATGGCTCGGTATCCAACCACCATTTTAGGACGTCATTACGTTTGAATTATCTTACTTGATTTAAAATAAGCCCACAGCTTACACCACTCGCCATATTTTCCTACCGACCAAATACGATCAGCTGTGTTGTATGGGGCGAGGGTAGAGGCTCACGGACGGATCGAAGTCGAATCAAGGGTAACCAATGACCCAATATCTGTAACTGTGCTTTCTAATGTCCCGAAGCTTCACATGTCAACCATAAGTTCGTGGAAATGGCAATCTGCAGTACGTCAGAAGCTCTTATGGTAGCCACTTCTGAGTGATCAGCTAGCATACAAAATGAACGATAGTTTTTCTATCCACCAATGGAAGAAAGGTAGGATTGTTCATCTAATGGGAGGTTTATCATACTACGATACCTTTCCCTCAAAAGTTGGCACCGCATGTCGTGGACGTTGTACATGTAGGCATATATGGAGTGGAACTTACCAATACGGGCTAATTCGTGCTCACACTCACGCACACCGTACGATATTACTATTAAGCCCTGGCACTTACAGTGGTCTGAGACAACACAGCACGATATTACCATCAGGCCCCGGCACTTGCAGTGATCAGAGACAACACAGTGCGATATTACCATCAGGCCCTGGCACACACAGTGGTTCGAGACAAACTTACAGTGGCCCGAGACAAACTTACAGTGGTCCGAGACAACGCAGTACGATATTACCATCAGGCCCTGGCACTTACAGTCGTCCGAGACAAACTTACAGTGGTCCGAGACAACACAGTACGATATTACCATCAGGTCATAGCACTTACGGTGGTCGGAGACAAACTAACCCTGGCGGAGCCTCCTCGACCTTGTATTTTCAGACTGGATTGATGGAGAGAGAAGAGAGCAAGGTCATTCCGTCGGTCATGTAAATTTGAATACTTTTGGAATTAAGTATGATTTCTTAGGTCAGGTCCAAAGATCATATCAGGTAAAATGTCATGTCTTCGGTCTCATCAGGCTGTTGTCAAGTAAACTCCCCTGGGCTAATCCCAGCTTGGTTTTATCCGTCTTACGTATTGCAATAACTGCGTATGCACGTTTCATATCAATCAAGGACAGGTTAGCAGGTAGATGCAGGTCGACATAGACCATCAAGGCTATTTGCTGCTTCCTTTGAATGGTAAGCGTCTTTGCCTACTAGTTATGTATCTTTTTGATCGGCAGTAGACGTGGATGATTTTGGCATCGATATAATTACAGTTTCAATTCCAGTTCTAGCCTCGGTCAATGACCTATGTCAAGCTCTCTCAGGTCAAATTGCCACGTCTGAGTGCCGATGTGATGGTGATCGAACGAGAGCATCAGTCTAGAAGTTATTAAAATGGAACACAAATTGCCACGTATCAGATCTGAAAGTCACATAAGGTCAATTAGGATAATTTCACAAAAGTAATGATGTGTTTGGTACCACTGAAAGCTACGCGACGTGATTGGATGAAGGGGACCGCCAAAGACGGTTGTGGTGTACGTTGCCTCGAAATAGATATTTCCAGGTCAAGTAGGAAAAGTGACTTTTAATTGACTTTGAAGTCAGAATGCTGCTCGCATGCAAGGGATTAAAATTTTTGAATAGGAAGTTCATAACATCAGCAAATTTAATTGCTACATTGGATTTTACCAGAGGCCAGAGCTTGGTGTAAGTTTGGGTCAATAACTTATAATAACTTCAGAACGCCATTGGAAGATCAGGCTAGGTGAAAACAGAACTAGGATGACCGCAGCAAGAAAGTGTTACGAGCCATTTCCAAAATCCTTCAAGTCCATCCACATATTGGTCCCATATGTTAAGACAAAAGATGTCACTGACTTACCTGACAGGACAGACACCCGACTTAGACTCAGGAATGTCAGATTTCGCGTGAAAGTAATGTAAGCGGGACACTGAAATGCTAACGGGCTTGTGTGGGTCGATCTCCAACTGTTTATGGGACTCCAATCTCTCTGTTTATGGACCTCCAACTGTTTATGGATCTCCAACTGATCGTACTGGTTATGGGACGGAGTGTGCGGATGTCCAACCGCCTGTCAGCTTAAGAACTAAAAACCACATAGGCAAGGTTGCACAAAAATATAACCTGGGAATCCGCAATGCAAGGCGAGTTAGCGTTGTGGAGGGGCGCCAGTGTGGCCTAAAGAGACTGGCCGGGGCATGACGCGCTGGCGAACGGGTGTCGGCCTCAATCGATAGCGGAGGACTGCCGGCCGGCCGGCCCGCTCAGTGGAGCTGTGGCGGGTGCAGAGGGAGGACGGGGTGGCCGTGAGCTGGACTCCGGAGTCACCACAGGTCAGGTCAGGTCAGTGCTGCTGTGACGGGTACAGAGGGAGGACGGGGTGGCCGTGAGCTGGACTCCGGAGTCGCCATAGGTCAGGTCAGGTCAGTGGAGCTGTGGCGGGTGCAGAGGGAGGACGGGGTGGCCGTGAGCTGGACTCCGGAGTCGCCACAGGTCAGGTCAGGTCAGTGCTGCTGTGGCGGGTACAGAGGGAGGACGGGGTGGCCGTGAGCTGGACTCCGGAGTCACCACAGGTCAGGTCAGGTCAGTGGAGCTGTGGCGGGTACAGAGGGAGGACGGGGTGGCCGTGAGCTGGACTCCGGAGTCACCACAGGTCAGGTCAGGTCAGTGCTGCTGTGGCGGGTACAGAGGGAGGACGGGGTGGCCGTGAGCTGGACTCCGGAGTCGCCATAGGTCAGGTCAGGTCAGTGGAGCTGTGGCGGGTACAGAGGGAGGACGGGGTGGCCGTGAGCTGGACTCCGGAGTCACCACAGGTCAGGTCAGGTCAGTGGAGCTGTGGCGGGTACAGTGGGGACTGGACAGGAGTCGGCTAGGCTGGTGCCGAGTCAGCTGGCGGCTGGTCGTGTTGCGCCAGATCAGGGCATTCCCGCTGGTCGTTTAGTGCTATGGTTTGATGCAGTGTAATTAGTCTTTAGCCTATAGTTAACAACCAGCAATTTTGACGAATGCTTGCATGTTGAAATGATCACAAGTCTCTCATACAAATGAGATGTTTATAAGAGGCTCTCTAGAACGCTGTGTTTTACATGAAAAATGTTTCAAAACAACTTGAAAAGTGTAGTCATTCAACGCAATAATCCTCTTTGAAAGCAATCAACCATAATGATATGAATACGAAACTTTCTAGCTTGTAACGGTTGGAGGCAGCTTACACGTGGCTAGGCAGCGCTGAGGCGAATGCGGATCAGGTCAGAGCACGGAAACACTGCTAGAACCATCAAAACTTAAAGGTTGTATGTCACACGCCTTGATTAAACTTAAGTTACTTATCTTTACTTTGATTCAACTTATCATACACCCGAATAATTGAGTTTTCCAGGTTCCACCGGCACGTTATTCGCATTTACATTTTCAGGAACACGACATACAGATACGTGGCTGCATTAAAACATTCAGTCAGCTAATCCGGAGAGATTGGTAATGCAATTATATACAGTGCCTGGAGGCATAAGCGGCTTGCATCCACCTGATCTACGAGCTATACCATGCAACAATAATTTGGCGGTTGTGCACCGGTGGAGCGTGAATACATCACATTGCATCGCGTGTTGGTAATGGTATGGATCACTATATGCCAAGTCACAATTATATTACTATGTGCGAAGTCACAATTACATTCGTCACCCGTCACATTCGGAAAGGCGGGCTAACAGCGTTTTATGTGTCAAGGTAGCACAGTCCCTTTGTGTGCCAACTTGCGGGACTACCTAGGTTGAACCCTAAAGGTTTGTGATGCTGACCATAAACTCGTGCAATCGGTTACACGAATTGTCATCAAGCTAAATGACCACGCCATATAATTTAGACCTCATTCAACACGCTGCCCTGCCACAATAACTCAATCGATCACAATAATTCAACAACCTCGTACTCAACGTAAAACGGTTTCAGTACCATTTCCATCCCCTTAACATGCTTGTCCCTGCTTTTGCTGCTTTTGCACGGATTTTCTCCGCGCTCTCGTCCGCGTTGCCCCCGAAAACTGAAGCTTTACGGCTCGCTGGCGCAGCCCGGCCACCCGCACAGCAGCCCGGCCAGCCGCACATTACTGTCCCGTGTCGTGAGATTATTATCTGCTTGACACCGCAGATTCCGGTGAATGGCCGCCATATGAGCGTTGCACCGTCTTTGGTAATGTTGGAGGAGCTGGGGCGTGCCTGCTCAGCAGCATGTCCGAAGTTGCGGCCCAGGCCCGCCTGGCAACATCAGCAGACGGAGGGCGTCACCTGATGACCGGTCAGAGCTGGAACGATCTGACTGGGCAGAAGACGTTCGTAATGAGTCGCTGCTCAGCTTAGTCAGATGGTGCGGGACAGCCTGACATTTTTCTTTAGAGCTGATAACAAGATGAAGCCGTCACCGGTCAAGGAGCTTAGCCGTTCGTTGCTGCCGCGCAAACTCACGCCAATCCTCTCCTCACGTTCCTCGAATCGGCCTGGGAAAGCGTCGACCTGCACTCATCTTGGTTTATCATGGCAGCAGGCTGCCATCGTTCTGAGATTACTTCGTGCATGCCAGAGAATTTGCGTCTCGTGCCTCCACCATCACCGCATGTGTTCAGGTTCTGCGTCTGATTCGGTGAAAAATCACCGGAGTGCACATCGATTCTTCACAGACGGCTGGCTAAACCGAGCGGCACAAAGCCGGAGCTGTCATCAACGTGGGGAAACAGGTGTCACACTTCAAGTGGGCTGCAAATTGTGACTCTATTTTTCCGTGCAAATGGTCGTCAAGGCTGTTACGTGCAGCATGCGTGTGCCAGATTTTACTGCAACTCAAGTCATGCGTTGCCTCGTCGCTTTGCCAAAGCCGTCGCAAGTTCAACACAAAGATGAACTAATAAACGAAGACAGCTAACATCCGGAAATGTCGGCCAGAAAGCCCCCCAATCCGGGGCTTTTGAAATCCCTCACCAATCTCGATATCTTTAGACCCGACGAGTTTACCTAACGATCTCTATTAATCTGACAAGTTCGGCTCGTAAAATCCGCACCGGCTGCTCTCAGAAGACGTATGTATCTATTACGGGCCGCGATATTTAATCCAAAAGTCTGGTGGACTTTTGCGAGTACCATTGAGCCCGTCTGAGTGGGGGGCGTTGTCAGATGGTGACTATCGGCCGCACGTACTGACGTGTATATCAACCAAGGCACGGCGGTATAACTCTGTGCCTATATCGGCCAACGCAGCCGCCCTGCTTCCGTTCGTGTTGTCATCCTTTTTTCCAACAGCATTGTGGCTGCAAATGTGCTGACACTTTCCCAACAGTCGTGTCGCATTTCAGACAAATGGTTCTGTCAGGGCGCGATGCCCAACAGTTTTGACAAATGCACACTACGGGCGCTGGTACCACTATAAATTACCGTGATATATTGCTACAGAAATTGCCTCATCACTGGTGTAAAGAGTACCGTGCGAAATGCTCATTGCTCCGCCACAGAAGCTGTTTCACACGCCTGCACGACCAGTCAAAGGCTCTCGGTCACCGGGTTATCAGGTAACCGCACCTTGACAGTTTCCTCGGTGATGTGGTACAGTACTGCTGTCTGACATCTAAGTCGAATCGTTTGAATTTCGAGTGCTGGGTACGTATATATTTTAGCATTCGAAACCTCGTTTTCTTATGCAACCGTTTAACATTGCCTCCTCCGCTACGCTACTCCTATACACACGCGGTCTCCTCCTCCTCTTCCTCTCCTCCTCCCTTTCTTTCACACCCACAGATACTCGCATATTCACCCGCTCCTAATCACGCGCTCCCTCTCACCCATTGCCACCCATCAGCGTGCTTTCTTATTCACTTTCTTCTTAGCTCCTCGAATCACTCACTTAACCAGTTCGTTCGTCCCTCATTTCTTCAGCAGCCAACTGGCTGTAGCCTGACTGGCTGAACGAATAACTGGTTCACTCACTCAATCCATTCACTCACTCACTCACACATTCACTCGCTCACTCACTCTCTCACTCATTCACTCACTCACTCACTCACTCGTTCGCTCACTCGCCCGCTCATTTACTCACTCAGTCACTCACTCAGTAATTCATTATCTATCCCACTCACTCATTGGCTTTCCTTCTCCTCTTTCTCTCCTCGCCTATCTCTCCCTCACTATTTCTCTCCCCTTCCCATGCCTCTCTCTCTCCTCTCTCTCCCTCTCTCACTCTGTGCCCTCTCTCACTCTATCGTACTTTAGCCTCTTCCTCCGGTACATTGCTCTCTCTCTCTCTCTCTCTCTCTCTCTCTCTCTCTCTCTCTCTCTCTCTCTCTCTCTCTCTCTCTCCATTCTCTCTCTCTCTCTCACCCTCTGTCTCCTTTACGCAGCCTTCCATCTCCGCACCGTTCTCTCGTCCCTAGCCCTTTGCGATATTTATCCTGCCACCGGCCAGAGGGATTTGCGCATGCATGATCCCCAGCTGAATCATTTAGAGAGCCTTACATGTCTGTCCAAGCTTGGAAGATCACATTATCATCACACCCCGCCCGCACGGCAGACCGGAATCAGAGATCTGTACCGGTGCAGATGCTGGGCCGCTGTAGATGGATCGGGAGCGGTGCTTTTCCAAGTTAAGTTTAGTCTTGTTTGGGACCAGAACACTTTGGATGGGTCGGTGCACGTTGGTTATTGGCTGTAGGGTCACCGTTCAGCTGCTTCGACATACTATTCGAAGGACATTTGGAATACGAAGGTTAGATGGCTCATTGTAACTATTGTTAAAAAACACAACACAACGCAAAACTCATGAAAATCTCGTGTAGATCATAAGTACATCTGAATGTGTTCTGATGTGATGCATTCATGAGTATTAACAACACTGAGTGCACTTGTGCCGTGTAATATCTAGCGATGCTAAGCATCGTACGAGCATACCTATGCGATGTTAACTAAACACTCCCTTGGCATGATATAATTGGCATGATGTATTTGACGCGTGGTTTGCTGTTGGTACAAAAACAAACCTTTTTCAAGATTTCCGCAGGGAGTGTCGCTACGTTCCAGAGGGTTTCATCATGACATGCTCAGTAATACAAACCCAGGTGATGTTAACCATTACTGCTTTCGTTTGTCTAGCCTTTCAGTGGCTTCGCGCTCTCAATTGCTGGAAAGGTACCTTAAAACTGAATGTGCTTGTCTTGCTCTCATTAGGCGATGACCTTGTTCAGGAAATGGCTGCAGCTGACAAAAATTTATGGATGTATGTGGAGACATGAGGTCATGACTATTTTAAGTGAGGTATATCTCATATTCCCAGACCATAATGCAGGGTGCAGATTCCTGTGGGCTTTTCTGGGTAAAGGTTAATCCGTATGCGCGCATCGACGTAGTTCATAGAAACGAAATTGTGGTATCCATTCCCAACAAAATAGAAGATAAGTCGCATTACAGCAAACCCCCAAACACGCATCGAATAGAGCCCCTAGAGCGGCTATGCGCTAAGTGATTGACCATTTCCGCCCAAGCCTCACCTTCCATGCACGTGGCGAGTAATCTGATTACCGGCCGTGACCCAGCGCGGGAGGATTAATGGTGTCCCAAGAACACCGGACGGCGACTTACAGGCTCCAGGTATAATATCCGGACCGTGGGTAGATTCATTCAGCCGTGCCAAGAACGGCCAGCGTACGGGAAAGAGGCGGCATAACTGCACTTCTGCTCGGAAATGTGGATGAAAAGTAGCCCGGTGCTTTGTGGTGGTAAACTGCTTCCAATTTGCCGATGTGATTGTCATGCAGCTTGACATCAGGTCAGCGCAATGCTGTTTGCATGACGCAGCAATTCACTAATGCACTCAAATGAACTCGTGTGTCTTGCACAACATTATCATGATGGGGAGCACGGAGTGTTAGTTGTGACGTATTGTGAGCTAATAAGGGGACATCCAATGATGATTACTACAAGTTGCCGAACAGAGCTCCGAGTGAGTGTCTTTCAAGGGAGTGTGAATCGCTAACCCGTCGTTGACTGGAATCTCACGTGGCCGTTTCAGGGCAGTGAGCACGAAGTGGGCGCCGAACAACGTCTGCAGAATAGCATGAGGACGCCAGCTGACTTGCATCGGGTCATTTGGAGCGTGATCGGGTCTCCGCCGACCTTGAACTCGCGTGATTCAGAGGGTCGCCTCCACTGACGAGTGCCTCGGTGCCCACGCGACTACCCGGTGTGCGACGGAGAACAACTGAATGAGGTCCACCAATCAGTCTCCGTTCTGATTCCCACGAGGAACAATCGAGCTCTGTCGCGCCATCTGTTGGCCAACAGGGAATTTACCGAGTCAGGACAGTGCGGGGTTTGTGAGCCGACACCACCGTTTGCATTGTGTGGAAGTGCAAGACTATCGCAAGCGGATCGTAGATTGTGCGGGAGGACAAGCGGAAGCAGTTGAAGAACGCCGCCAGATTTATGGCCTCCACTTCGCTATTGGTTCTGCTGTGCGCCATGGGAGGTAAGTAATTCGAGCATCCTCTTTTGGACGATGAGCTATGAGGGCTGTTCAAGCTGCATTCTTTGCGGTGATGTTATACGATCTTAGTTTATGAAGAAACAAGCAGAACATTTGGCTTCTGTGCCCTGGTTTCTGTGTTTGTTACGCATAAAACTTTCACGAAGACACGTCAGCGTTGATACGAAGGTCAACCCCCGATGTTGATCATATGGGTTGCCATGACTGGCCTTGATGGCGGGGCTCGATAAGACGTTTCCGGAACACGTAATACTCATTAGCCAGCTGCCCCTTTTATTTCTTTAAAAATTAAAGGAACGCCAGTCATGGTGAAGCATCTTATGGAGCGCAAGCGTCTGCAGAAATAAGCGCTCAAGGCCCATGGAACAGCCGAAGTTAGAACCCGGACACAACACGCGAGAGCCGAAGGCACTGACCACTCGGCTATCACGCCTCTAACCACCAAACGGAAGCCCGATGCATCTCTTGCTTACGTCAAATAAGTTACCCTGCAGCCTGCATTACGCTCAGACATTTCCAAACTTTCTCGTAATTATCTGATCATGCGATATCGACCCGGCAATGACGCCTCTTGATCACCTGTACGTTCGTTCAAGCGTTTGCCAGGAGCGACTTTCTTACGATCAACCTCAACCGCGAATTCTCAAAACACGGGAAATTATCACACATTCATTTCAAAAGTCAGACACGACCATCCCCAATCTCCCCGGCCGGTGTCAATGACATCAGCTCTACACCCACTTCGTCTCAGTCCGGTGTGACACCTCCGCTGTCGCCTGAAAGTATTTCCGTGTCCCTGTCCACTGGGCGACCCGGCCAGAGCCGCAGGACGCGTGTTCGACATGTCGGCCTGTGTCCGCCTGTGTCCGCCGCGCCCGACCGTCCTGTGGCCGTCTCAAATAGATTAATGTCCGCCCCTGCACCGGGAGTCAGAGCCTGGCCGCCACACAGCAGCTGATGTCACTAAGCGACTGGAAGAGTCTGTGCCGGTGCGGGGAGGGGAGGGGGGGGGGGGGAGGCTGTGTGGGGAGCTGTGACGTCAGAGGTACGATAGCAGAACCGGTGTTGATGCAATGCTATGGATCGGTGCGGAAGACGGACACCGCACGGCCCATGTGCTGTGGGAACATCAGCGCGTAGAAAGCTGTTGGGCATTTGGCTTTATGTACTTGGTCGACACTTGGTGCGCATTACTGTGGCAGGGCTGATGAACATGCTGGCGTGTGGTGGGCATATGCAATGTCATGGATCGGTGCGGGAGAACGAACACCACACGACCGATGTGCTGTAGGAAACATCGACGCGTCGAAAACTCTTGAGTATTTGGCCTTATGCACAGTGGTAGACCTTTAGTGGGCGTTTGATGTAAAATAACCATGGTGGACAAATGTCCTTCTAATATATATGATTGTAAATTTTGAAATTGACGTTACAGGATTATCAGCGACTGAAAATGGTTAGGGTTACGAATGGTGATCACAGATGCAAATTCTACAAAAGTTATGAACTGCATTTGCGACGAACATTTTACATATAAATAACTCAGCACTAATGGTCTTATCCCTCGTATGATAGGCAGAAGAATGGATATATATATATATATATATATATATATATATATGTATATATCTGAATATATATTCATATACATTGATATTCCGGCTACATTCCTTTATCGAAACGAATGTCAGTAGCAAATTCAAAATTGCTGATGATTCTACACAATTTTCCAGTTTTTTTTTCTCGAAACAGCAAGCCACATTTCCGCAATTCATCAGCATGCCGGAGAGTTACCAGCCTTCACCATGACACGGTGCACACCTAACTAAAAATCAAAATACGCGAAATACACGCATGCATGCAAACAAAGTCAAGCAAACAGACATCAAGCATAGCGCATCATTCACACGTGCAAGCGATTTCAAATAAATGATTTCAGCTGAACAGGCATCACGCATCACGCATCACTTATATTGTACGGGCTAGTTTAAAAGACATTAATCACATAGAGTCACAAAGACAAAGACAGGAAATGCGACGAGCCTCCTGTAAGCCCGTCCGCTATCGCGTGCGTAACCAGAGCGCGCGACCACAGACCAGCATGCTTGCGCCGAAGAGAACACGTTGTTGGACGAGTCGACGCATATTATGCCTTGTTTTCTTTTGGTGCCGCATCTAACTCACTCCGCTCCCTACGCAGAATATTAATCAAAGCTCTGTGATTCACTTAAAATCACGATAGCATTAAGTCGCTAATTGAGCATGCTTTACTCCTCACGCCATTCGCCGCGGGCGAACGCGGGACAGACCTCACAAACATCCCCGGGACGTTTGGCACGAGTGGCCGGCCTGGAAATATCTCGGCTGCACCATGCCAGAACTACAGTCACTTAACGTCACCCGAGTGGGCTTCTGTGGCCGGAACAGCCACTCTGAACCCAGTTTTGCCGCGTCTGCCGGCCGTGTCCGCAGTCGGTGGAGCCCGTCCATTTACTGCCGCGAGCCGGCGTCGGAAAGTGGCCCGGTTCAGAGCATCGTCACCGAGCACCGCCTCAGTGGCGCTGCGACACTCGGCACGTTGAATACCGGCGCAGTGATAGGTGTTGTGGCGCCGCTCGCTCATCATGTATTGATTTTGGTTCGGCCGTCAACAGCAGGGGTACGTCTGGTCAGTTGTTTGGCATCGCGTTCGAAGTTGCCAAGCCGTCATCGTCATATGCCTGCGAATTGCAAACGTGCCAATAATTCTGCTCGGAACAGATCCTAGCAGATTCAGCCCTTTGGTAGCTAAGGTAACAACCGACCAAAATGAAGATATAAAAGCTTGCACCGGCCGCAGTTTGCTTTAGCGCAACAGAGCGATCGAAGCTTTTCTTAATTGATCGACGCCATCGTCATATGAAACATTTGCGGGTGTGATGCATGCGCGCGATGAATCAATAGTTCTATTTTCTTTAACCCACTTCTTTCCTGGAATTGCCCATTGCAGCCAGTCGTCTTCGCCGTTGTATTTTGAGAGTGGCTTCGTATTTCCCGGGCCGCTGCCCGCCCTGTTCCACGACTGGCTCACCGTCCCTCCGTGATTGGACTGAAAGAGAGGTGCACCCCCAAAAGACATGTCTATAGGTGTGTGAGCGTTTTGGTACGCGTATGCGAACGCGCTCACGCGCAGGACGGGCTCACCACCGCTGAGCTTCGGACCTATGTCTGCTCTTAGCACAAGCACTGCCGACACTTGGTACCGTAACCCAGCCTGAGCACGCGTCTATGCGGACCCTCGACCTATCTGACCCCCTCCCACCTCTATCCCACGGTTGGCTTATTCCTCCGACGCCGCTGACCCAGACTCATCTCATCTGGCGCCCAACTGCCCATCTCTATTCGGCGTCCGAAACACGGCCGGCTGCCGGTGACGGAGAATCGATAGCAGTGGCAGGTGTCGTTTGGGTTGGGATTGCCTCTGTTCGCTGGTGGCAGGTCGGTTAGGCCGCCGCCAGTCTGAGGTTCGAGCTTCTCCCACCTCTGCGCCGCGCGCGGCATTCGCTTCCCGGCCAGCTGCCCATGCCGTGTCCGAATTTGGGACGCGAGGTCAGCGCCCTGTTATCAGCGAGTCCCACCGTCGGCAATGATGTCCTGGTTAATGTGTTGATGTTCGTGATCATGGGCGTTTAATGGCACCGATCAGCTGTCAGATCACGCTGTCGGTTACATCAGACCGGGGGAGTATATGGTCGAACCGCAATTCGGAACTCAGTAGAACTCCTCATCTGCCATGCGCGCCTAATGTTAAGAAATTGGGATGCTGCTGGCTTCATTGTGTGTGCTTTATACAGCGTCATAGACCAATGCTATATATTTCGAAGGAAGTGCTCAGTATCAGGAAGTGCTCAGTATCAGGAAGTGCTCGTACCCTGCGCCTGAATCCGTTTCCGTTTTTTACCTGCTTCATGGCGTGTCTGAAAATTTATCATTTTTATTGGCTCTGTGCCAACGGCAGGAGTGATGCAAATGCGTCAGTTCCGTCCGCACTCATATGCCAGCTATTTCCAGGTGGCGCAGGCATGTGGCCACACGCCTGCTCCCCCCCATCCACCTCCACTGCCCCGCACGAAAATGGGAGCGCTGCCGAATTGGCCGCCGGGTGCGCCTGGCTTTGTTGTGCTGAGGAAAAAAGGCGCGGGAAATTGATGTCGTTAGTGTGATTGGATTAGTCCTTGGCAGGCCGATATGGGCAATATAACAAAGCCTGCCCCACGGGCCATTCAGGCTGCGGCTCGCTTTTTCCTTGTTGTGCCGCAGAGGTGACAAATGGGTAAGGGAGCGGGGCTATACATAACGCCGAGGTCAACGCCGGCGTCAGTGCGTATTTACGTCGAGAAGGTAATCTCGATGTAGCTTGTGAGAAGCTTTGTACGCCTAATATGCAAATAAGTCCGTCGGTGGACAGAAGTAGCTCGATGAGACGAAAGTGACATTCCTCGCGAGCTGTTTTTGTAATGCACTGCAATGTTTTGCCATTTCGCATGTGCCGGCGACCCTATTTTCATGATTTTTCTTCCAGCATTGGTGCCTTTCCGCGGCAATTTTTTTTATCGAGACTGGGCTGCTCTCTTTACTTCGTAATTTTTCCAAGCAACAGTACTTGCCGTCTCAGACCACACCCTCAGACCACAAAATTCGCACGGTGCCACTCACTGTACGGCGGGAAGGCTCTCCCATTCACCGAGCCCCAATATCTCGAGCATCCGGGCGGGCGTTGCCTCCCTCGCCGCCCCCTCCCCCTCATTTGGCTGATTGACCGTCATGGCGGTCCAAGTCAGCTCGGCGGGCTTGCCATAACCGGCCGGACACGGGCCCGACAGGCCCGAGCCGCCCTGCGAGCGCCAGGCTAGCGCCACAGATAGCGCCAGGCTAGCGCCACAGATAACAGCCCGCAAAAAATACTGCCGGCGCCACGCGCAGCGCCATCAGGCTGCTGATAG